AACAATGTTAAGTATAACGTTAACTTAAGTTTGTCAGGACCATGAGCTGATCATTCCTAGACCGATTTTCAGTTAGACCGGCCTATTAGAACTTGTTTTTAAGTTTGAAATAGGTACTTTCAAAATAGCGGCCATGGCAGCAAAATTGTATTTCTGATCGACCCGAAAAATAAACAACACTTTTTCAGGACCACGAGTCGATCATTCCTACAAAGTTTCAGTTCAATCGGCCAAATAGAACTTCACTTTAAATGGCGGCCATGGTGGCCATATTGGATTTCTGATTGACACGAAAAATAACAACAATTTGTCAGGACCACGAGTCGATCATTCCTACAAAGTTTCAGTTCAATCGGCCTAGCAGAACTTGACTTTAAGTTTGAAATAGTTTGTCAAAATGACGGCTGTGGCGGACATATTGGATTTCTGATCGACCCGAAAAATAAACAACACTTTGTCAGGACCATGAGTCGATCATTCCTACAAAGTTTCAGTTCAATCGGCCGAGCAGAACATAACTTTAAGTTTGAAATAGTTTTTCAAAATGGCGGCCATGGCGGCCATATTGGATTTCTGATCTACCCGAAAAACAACATCACTTGGTCAGGGAGATGCCAGTAACCTTCCCATGAAATATTAATGAAATCCCTTTGCAACAATTTCAGCTTAAGTTGAAAATGTAAAACGGACAACGGACGACGGACGACGACGGACGAAGACGGATAGCAATAGGTCACTTGAGCTAAAGCTCAGGTGACCTAAAAAGGTCAACTTTGGCAAATCTATCTTCAATGTAAAACATCAGTCAACTTCAGAAAAAACAAGACTGAGAGAAATAGAAGCCTTCATCTAATAAGAAGATCAAAATCTACTTTTGAAAAGGATTTGACAGACAACATTAAAACAAACCCAGAAACGTTCAGAAACAAAAAATGTTCGACCAGTCACAAGTGGAGTACAAGTGGAGTTCCCCAGGGTAGCGTCCTTGGTCCTATACTATTCTTGATTTACGACAATGACATGCCGGAACTTCTCAGCTGTATAACCAAATTATTTGCGGACGATACCAAACTCTACTCAAAAACGGGTACAGAACTAGAAAGACAGCAACTCCAGACAAACATCGACAACATAAGTAATTGGACCGAGACCTGGCTGATGATGCTAAACACCATGAAGTGCGAACATATGGAGATTGGTAATAACCCCAAATCATCAAAATACTATTCAAAGCAAGATGGACAAACAACCAAAATAGAGAAAGTGCAGCAGTGTCGAAAGCTATCCAAATGTTAGGTATTATGTTTAGAACTTTCGTTTTTATGGACTCAACTCATTTTACAATCCCGAACAAGTCCCTAGAATCCGTTCACATCTGGTATTCGCTATGCAAGTGTGGTCACCGTCTCTAAACAAGGACAAAATAGTATTCGGAGTGCAATCCAGTAATCTACATGGTGTATTGTAAATCACACAACAGTTTTAACACAAACACAACACTTACATCGAAATAATACCCAATACTTTTGCAACTATACTCAATAATTAATGCACGAATGTGAGCAGTATTTCTTGCGAATGAACGCAGTATTTATGGTAAATGCATCTTGGGGTAACTTACGATAAAACCTCATACTGCTGTGAGGATTGTACTTTCAAATAAAGGTTGCCGTTTGAAAAATATGCAAGCCTGCATGATTTCTTTGGAAAATACTCTATTTCGTTTTGTAATAAGGTCAATATTTTTGTATTATGCTTATAGTGTACATTGTTTAGATAGCACTAGCTCCGGAAGATCCTTCCACTACTTCGTAAGTAGCCATACAAAATTTAACTGTCAAATTCCAATTTGTGATCGTTTCAAAAATAGAACTGGCAGAGATGAATTTAAAAATTCTCTCTGGTACTCTCTGGCTAATAATGAGAATAATCGTTAAAAGTAAAATTCCAAGATTGCAACCAGGCAGCCATCCTCTTTTCCAGATCAGTCTCAAAATGAAACACGCACTAATCAAGTCAAGGAAAACAACCTACATCTGAAAATGGAGAAAGATTTGTATGATGTTATATCAATATGACCTTTAAGTATGTGACCTTGACCTTATACCAAGGAGCAATTGCAATAAATCCAAATTATTTGGCTCAGTCCCACGATGCAAACATCACTGCTGAGAGTATGGAAGTTGATGTCCCTGACCGTGTCCTTATACAAACCAGGAACCACATACAACCTGCGTACAAAGTTTGAGAAACGTCAACCGGTACACATACTTTCCTAGAAAAGAAACTGCGCTAAAACTTCAAATCCAAGGCAACCAATAGAATTATTCAGATAAAATATACTGAACAAAAAAAGAAATGCACAAAGTTCCCCCCTATAGTATACCTTAGCTGTAAGGAAATAATGGAATATTTGGTCAGGTGTTACATCAAGAACGATCTCCCTTCTCAACAATCTACCCTAAAATCAGCCAAGCGTGACGATGTCATTGTGTGACTTTGTGAGCTTCTTTAGTCCAAATCACGCGGCGTGATCAAGGCAAGCCGGAGTTTTTTAAACAAATAATCTCAACGAATACTCTTAAGTTCAGCCACATTAATTTTCCACGTTGGCATTTTGATTTTGCCATTGACTGAGATGCCACGCTTAACGCAAATTCAGAGGGGTAGAGCAATTGCGATGTTGATTAATGGTCATAGCCAAACTGCTGTCGCACGGCAGTTTGGTGTTGGCCCGTGTACAATTAACCGTCTCTGTACACGTTTCCTGGGTTGGGTTTCGATCGTACAAGGAGCGGTCGTCCGCGTGTAACGACCGCACGACAAGACAGGGCGATTCGATTGTCGCACTTGCGCAACAGATTCAAGACTGCTGTAGACTGCGTCGCATACCTTAGGTACTCATGGCAGTCATCAAACTGCCAGGAACCGATTGCGTTCCGAGAGAATCATTGCGCGCCGACCTTATGTCGGGCCACCTCTGACACCACAGAGGCGGCAAGTGCGTCTTGACTGGATGCGCAGACATGGCCGAATAGGTTTGGGATGCGTCGATGGAGGCGTGTGATGTTCACCGACGAGTCTAGATTATGTCTGTATCGCTCAGACGGAAGAAAAAGGGTATATCGCAGACACGGTGAGCGTTTCGCCGACGCATGCGTGGTTGAACGCGATAGATTCGGTGGGGCTTCTGTAATGGTTTGGGGAGGCATCTCCCATGGAGTAAAATCCCCCTTAGTGGTCCTGGATCAAAACCTCAATGCCGTTCGATACAGAGACCAGATCCTCCAACCACATGTCCTTCCACTTCTCAGACGTCATAACCTAATTTTCCAGCACGACAATGCTCGACCGCATGTTGTCAGAGTCTGTCGTGATTTTCTCACGGCAAACAACGTTCAGTCTCGTGAATGGCCGACATGTCTCCCATTGAGCATCTTTTGGATGAGCTGGACAGGCGTATTAGGAAACGTCAAAAAAAAAACCCACTAACCGCGCCCAGTTGATCGCAGCATTAACACAAGAATGGAACAACATTCCCTTAAGGCGAATAATGTTCTCATGAATTCAATGCATATGAGAATCCGTGCAGGGAATCGTGCAAAAGGTGCCCACACCAGGTACAGAAGTGTCATTTTGTTTTTCGCAGGTATCCCACTTTGAGTAACTACTGATGACACGAGTGACGTCACACAGACTTTTCTTCTACAGTATTGTAAAGAGTAGACTTGTCCCTTCATATTGATATAAAATTTTGTACAAATTTCCCAAAATATCATAGGCTATTGATTGCATAATCTCAATGTGCGTTTAATTTTTTGTTCAGTATATGTTTAAATTAAACCAATAGCCATACTGTTCTTATTTACAAACAAGTGGCTTTTGCAATAGGACCCAAGTAATTTCTGTGAAACATAGACTAGAATTGTTTACAGATGGAAGAAAGGCCATTTGAAAGGCTCTCACCATCGTCAGATGGATGGCTTAAAGGGCTTAAGACAATCTTTCACCAATCAGCTTACTAACAGTTAACGCTTGGCTAATATTAACTAGAATTTTGTTTTTGTGAACAAAAACATGTCTCCCCTTATTAGCCAATTGAAAAACTTCAGTATAAAAAATTAACAAAAGGGCCATATCTCTATATAGTGTGGCACGAGACCCGAATTTAGAATGCGACACTCCTTCTTCCCAAGATACATTGTACTTTAAAACTTTAGCAAGTTTGGTCAACGTAGGTGAAATAACATGGAAGTTAAGCCGTGGCAAAACTTCAGTATTAAAATTAAACAAAGGGCCATAACTCTGTATAATGTGGGGTACGAGACCTAGTTCCAGTGCACTGCACACCTTCTGTGGGTGATGCAGGTATACTTCAAGTTAATATATCTTTAATGGTTTAGAAGTAATGCCGTGGACAAACTTCGGCATTAGAAATAAACAAAGGGCCAATACTCTGTATATAGTGGGGCCCAAAACCTGATTTTAGTGCTAGAGATTCCGCCTTCCCAAAATACATAAATATGCTAAGTATGGTCAACGTAGGTGAGATAGCATGGAACTTATGCTCCGGACAAACTTCCGCATTAAAATTAAACAAAGGGCTATAACTCTGTATATAGTGAAACATGAAACCTAATTCTATTGCACTGCACACCTTATGTGTGTGATGCTGATATAGCGCAAGCTTGATCAAGATATCTTTACCGGTTTAAAAGTTATGGGCCAGACAATAATTTACTGAAAATGTTGCACTTATTTGACCTTGAGGTGAAGGTCACAGTGACCTAATTCCAGTGCACTGCACACCTCCTTTGGGTGATGCATGCATACTTAAGTTTAATCAAGATATCTTTAACGGTTTAAAAGTTATGGCCCGGAAAAGTTAGATTAGAAGAACCAGAAGAAGAATTAGAAGAACTAGTACTTATACAATATGTCTCCCTTCATTCGAAGGAGAGACATAATTAAACAGTTAAAAAAGATGTCAAAAAACAAAATGTAAGAAGAAATGTTTATTCAAAAGCACTTAGATGATAAATGCTTAAAATAACAATACAAGACACAGAATATATATATATGATCAATGTTGAAATTATTTTCATTCTAAAATGTCATAAATCATATCTATTTAAAAAAGACTTAAAACTTCATGATTGCATACATTCCCAAATTATGAATATTCATCAGATGACAATTTCACATGCTATAAATATTCATCAGATTAATCATGTATCCCGACAAAACATTCCTCAGAATACAAATTACTACTGCTGACTGCCAGAACAGGACTCAGCAGCTCCGTACACGTTGCATCCCCTCCCATGTAGAACCATCTATAGTGAATACTCATAAGGGTTAACATTTGTGCCACAAGAAGATTATATGATTACCCATGATTATTTTAATTTAGAAGTCATTACTTAGCATTAAAGCCCTGCCTTAACTTATACAGATGTCAATGGTTTGATAGCTGCCAGATTAATTACATGATATATGCACAATAATCCCACTTATGAATATTCATGCATAGTCATCCACTCATTTAAATAAGTACACATGTTTCAATATTTCTAAACAATGATTTATCTTGAATAGCTGTAAAAGTATAATAACCTTATTTTAAGAAGACTCCCTCAATAGAGAAAACATTCAATGACAGCGAATCTGATGTCAATTTCACTCATGATGGTTTAAATGGTTCGGACACATTGCTGTATAGATGACCAGTAATCAAACAATGATCAACGGAGCATACACCCTGTAACAAGTTGCAGTTTATTAAACAAATGTTGTCTTCATCTTCCAATCTATGAACATTTCTGTCATGAATGTGATCTTAACTTCATGAATAGTCTAGAACTAGTCCTTCAGGATTACTGTTAATTTGATCAACTCATCGTCATTCTGCCATGGATGTTGGATGTAAGGAAAGTCAAACCAATGAGTGAAGGACGGACAGCCCAATTCAGGAGGATGATAATGTCAACAAGGACACACAGTGATAACAGAACACATCTATTACACATAGCAAGTAGTAATTGTAACAAGTTTAAATGCAACACAAAAAATATACAAAATCAACTGTTCATGTATCCGAAAGCTGCAGTTTTATTGGGAGTCTGTGAGGGAAGGAAAGGTTACATGTTAAAATAATTGTTACATCACATATTGGGAGTCTGTGAGGGAAGGAAAGGTTACTGGTTAAAATAATTGTTACATCACATGTTGGGAGTCTGTGAGGGAAGGAAAGGTTACTGGTTAAAATACTTGTTACATGTTGTATCACTTGTATAAGTGACTTTAATTGGCCGGGTGTTTGCAGGGGCTCGGGTTTATTGATAGGGGTCAGCTATATTAGTTTGGGATCAGTTCTAAGCAACAAATTTGAGATTTTTCTTATAAACAGCAGCTGCACTTTGCATATATGCCCTATGGATTAACATAATAAAAACAAATCAACATTATGACACTTGAATTGAAAATGTAGGAAAATTCCCAAATGCTACTGTATCTGACAAAAGGAACATTGGATTGGTTTTACAGCAAATAAATCAAAACAGATGTACACTATTATTTTATACCTACGTTGTGTTTCTGTCAACAACGTGTGATATTCATGTTAAATATGTTTAGGAAGTTCGTATAAAGGATCAAACATAACAAGCTTTGCTGTGGCTTGTCTGTCTGAATCCTGAAACACTTACAATATTTGTCTAAAACACACCATAGATGATTGGTTGAAATCTCGGATGCAAACTGAAATGTGTATCTGTTTTCACTCAAATTGGTCCACACATATCTAGTACAATACTGCAAATTGCTGAGACATTTTTTCCAACATACAATACACAGTGTTTTTTTGAACAGGTATCACCAGAGAAAAAAAATCACCATCAGTACATGTGTCTTAATACTTCTATTAAAAAGATAAAATGTATTTTTTATATAAAATTGAAAAAATGGTTATATAAAGCTATTTGTCATTCTTTCCCCCAGAACCAATAAAATAACTTGTCAGTGATAGTACATCATATGGAGAGCCCTCTGTGGGATACCAAACAGCTCTGAAGGAAATCTCACCAACTACTGATGACAACTGAAATTGTCTCAAAAATTAAAACTACAATCTACGTAATCTGTAATTCAATAGAAGATTGGATATGTACATCACAATATTATCAGTACCATAATCAGCCAACTTGTTCCTGTTTATTTATCAAATGTCTTATGGTATTTTTTTTTTACAAATTCATGATACACAATCCTAACAATGAAGACAGTAGACCTTTTGAGACAAACAACCTGTACTAAGTCCTAACCTGGCCAATGATTAACTCCTGTACTAAGTCCTAACCTGGCCAATGATTAACTCCTGTACTAAGTCCTAACCTGGCCAATGATTAACTAACAGGTTCCTTGGGGTGCGTGACTAAGTACAAGTTGTTCAGATTATGTTTTCTAACTATTTTCAATTGCACAATAAAATTTCAGTTTCTATCTCCTAAATTGTCATGGTTTTACTTAGCCTAGCAATATTATTCAGGAAACTGAACTGCACAACATCTTTCGAACACAACTAATCTTCCATTTAAAGTTACATTCATGTTATAATAAAATTTTGCAATAATGTAAAGTTTAACTAAAATCATATTTCTACAAGCTAACACAAAATCAACGTGCCACTCATTATTCACAAGCATCAGCAGCTAAGATATTAATTACAATATGGTTTTCTGCAGATAAAGCATTAAAAAAAAATCTGAATTTGAATAAAGTAACTGATTCGAAAAGTCAATAATCACATCAGAGGGAATGGTTTTATCTTTCACCCTTGAAGCATAACCAATGGGCAATAGTAAGTTATGCAGTATAGAAATTACACACTAAAATGTGTAAATAACAAATAATATCTGCAAGAACCATCCTTACATTCTTAAATGGGTAATATTCACAATCAGTCTAGAAGCCTCTAAAATACATTTAAAATACACAACTTTATCTTCACAATAAATGCAAACAAAAATTAAAATCAAGGATGAAATATATATTGCTGCTTATGTTCCTACAGTCTGAAGTGTCCTCTTCTCCAACCAAAATACCATTTTCATTTCTCCGGTGACCTTAGATTCCTATTATATGTCAGGTTCACCTAGTCACTAAGGATATACACAATTTACACATTGTACCTGTGTTTGTTAAATTGCTTCGTCTGTTACACCAATTCTACATCACAGGGGTATCATCAATGCATCCCATTTACCTTTCAAACATGTCATTAATTAAGTCTAGATCTAGGTTTACCTTTCATTTTCAATGTTTGATAGATTAATGATTCTGTATATTAAACATATATTCACTTACCAGCATATCCATCAATTAAATGTTTTTTAGCAACAGGTAAAAATATGGCTTTCAGTCGCAACAGATACATCAACTAACACTGTTCTTTACATGGCAACTAGAATAAAGGCTGAACAAATATGGTCTAAAACATTACAAATACCGTCTAAAACATTACAAATACTCAATATTGAATCAAGTTTGACTTCACTGCAGAAATCAAATATAAATCTTCAAGCAATATATTAAAAAGCAAAATAAAATTCTATGGGGTTTTCAATGTCAACCAATCAGATTGTAGGTAACAAATTATTTAAAAGATAAAAATTTAACCAATCAGATTGTAAGTAACAAAACAGTACAATGGTTAATATTTTGAGTAACGATATTGTATGATGCCATTAACACTGATGTAAAATGTTTACCAGTTATATTTAACAAACAAGACTGGTGTAAAGTTCAACAGGTTTTACTTAGTAATGATTTATATGCTACACATAAAATGATAATAGTACACTAACAATACAATTGGTCAAAGGTAAACTACAATTGGCCAATCAGATTGCAAGACATATTTATGAAATGAACCAATTCTGCAGTGATTGTGACACAACTATGTTTAAGAAGATGCATTGTCTCAGGCCAAAGTTCAAGGGGTCACTGTAACAGAATGTAACATGATGGAGTTGTCTGCCCTTGAATCCTGCGTCCTTGTTGGGTTGATTTCATGGAGGAATGAGTGAGTGTAGACTGAAACTATCATGGATGTAGGGTCGAACATCATCCTTCTGTAAAATTGTTAACATTAAATACTATTTAAGTGTCGAATTCAGTCAACTTGAAATTTTGAAACAGTGCTAACATGCAAAGCTTGGAACATAGTAAAAAAGAACTGACAGTTTAACTGTTAACATCAGGTAATTACCACTGCTTGAATGAATCTTACAATAGAGGTGAGAAAAATCAGCTTTGTTTGGTCTATAATACTATTATCTTTAGATCAACATTTAGATTTCACCAGGACAAAGTATCCTTCTGAAATGAATCTTGGCCACACAATCAATGCAAGTTTCAAGTCCAGACATTATAATGCTGACAATAAGTTCCGACAATTGCAATTAGTATCGAGCAACGATGTGCAATGATATATGCTCGCAGCATAGAACATATAAAATCCAACCACTAGTGAAGGTGATGTCACCGTGCGATGGACATGTGCAATGATATATGCTCGCAGCATAGAACATATAAAATCCAACCACTAGTGAAGGTGATGTCACCGTGCGATGGACATGGGCAATGATATATGCTCGCAGCATAGAACATATAAAATCCAACCACTAGTGAAGGTGATGTCACCGTGTGATGGACATGGGCAATGATATATACTCGCAGCATAGAACATATAAAATCCAACCACTAGTGAAGGTGATGTCACCGTGTGATGGACATGGGCAATGATATATACTCGCAGCATAGAACATATAAAATCCAACCACTAGTGAAGGTGATGTCACCGTGTGATGGACATGGGCAATGATATATACTCGCAGCATAGAACATATAAAATCCAACCACTAGTGAAGGTGATGTCACCGTGTGATGGACATGGGCAATGATATATACTCGCAGCATAGAACATATAAAATCCAACCACTAGTGAAGGTGATGTCACCGTGTGATGGACATGGGCAATGATATATACTCGCAGCATAGAACATATAAAATCCAACCACTAGTGAAGGTGATGTCACCGTGTGATGGACATGGGCAATGATATATACTCGCAGCATAGAACATATAAAATCCAACCACTAGTGAAGGTGATGTCACCGTGTGATGGACATGGGCAATGATATATACTCGCAGCATAGAACATATAAAATCCAACCACTAGTGAAGGTGATGTCACCGTGTGATGGACATGGGCAATGATATATACTCGCAGCATAGAACATATAAAATCCAACCACTAGTGAAGGTGATGTCACCGTGTGATGGACATGGGCAATGATATATACTCGCAGCATAGAACATATAAAATCCAACCACTAGTGAAGGTGATGTCACCGTGTGATGGACATGGGCAATGATATATACTCGCAGCATAGAACATATAAAATCCAACCACTAGTGAAGGTGATGTCACCGTGTGATGGACATGGGCAATGATATATACTCGCAGCATAGAACATATAAAATCCAACCACTAGTGAAGGTGATGTCACCGTGTGATGGACATGGGCAATGATATATACTCGCAGCATAGAACATATAAAATCCAACCACTAGTGAAGGTGATGTCACCGTGTGATGGACATGGGCAATGATATATACTCGCAGCATAGAACATATAAAATCCAACCACTAGTGAAGGTGATGTCACCGTGTGATGGACATGGGCAATGATATATACTCGCAGCATAGAACATATAAAATCCAACCACTAGTGAAGGTGATGTCACCGTGTGATGGACATGGGCAATGATATATACTCGCAGCATAGAACATATAAAATCCAACCACTAGTGAAGGTGATGTCACCGTGTGATGGACATGGGCAATGATATATACTCGCAGCATAGAACATATAAAATCCAACCACTAGTGAAGGTGATGTCACCGTGTGATGGACATGGGCAATGATATATACTCGCAGCATAGAACATATAAAATCCAACCACTAGTGAAGGTGATGTCACCGTGTGATGGACATGGGCAATGATATATACTCGCAGCATAGAACATATAAAATCCAACCACTAGTGAAGGTGATGTCACCGTGTGATGGACATGGGCAATGATATATACTCGCAGCATAGAACATATAAAATCCAACCACTAGTGAAGGTGATGTCACCGTGTGATGGACATGGGCAATGATATATACTCGCAGCATAGAACATATAAAATCCAACCACTAGTGAAGGTGATGTCACCGTGTGATGGACATGGGCAATGATATATACTCGCAGCATAGAACATATAAAATCCAACCACTAGTGAAGGTGATGTCACCGTGTGATGGACATGGGCAATGATATATACTCGCAGCATAGAACATATAAAATCCAACCACTAGTGAAGGTGATGTCACCGTGTGATGGACATGGGCAATGATATATACTCGCAGCATAGAACATATAAAATCCAACCACTAGTGAAGGTGATGTCACCGTGTGATGGACATGGGCAATGATATATACTCGCAGCATAGAACATATAAAATCCAACCACTAGTGAAGGTGATGTCACCGTGTGATGGACATGGGCAATGATATATACTCGCAGCATAGAACATATAAAATCCAACCACTAGTGAAGGTGATGTCACCGTGTGATGGACATGGGCAATGATATATACTCGCAGCATAGAACATATAAAATCCAACCACTAGTGAAGGTGATGTCACCGTGTGATGGACATGGGCAATGATATATACTCGCAGCATAGAACATATAAAATCCAACCACTAGTGAAGGTGATGTCACCGTGTGATGGACATGGGCAATGATATATACTCGCAGCATAGAACATATAAAATCCAACCACTAGTGAAGGTGATGTCACCGTGTGATGGACATGGGCAATGATATATACTCGCAGCATAGAACATATAAAATCCAACCACTAGTGAAGGTGATGTCACCGTGTGATGGACATGGGCAATGATATATACTCGCAGCATAGAACATATAAAATCCAACCACTAGTGAAGGTGATGTCACCGTGTGATGGACATGGGCAATGATATATACTCGCAGCATAGAACATATAAAATCCAACCACTAGTGAAGGTGATGTCACCGTGTGATGGACATGGGCAATGATATATACTCGCAGCATAGAACATATAAAATCCAACCACTAGTGAAGGTGATGTCACCGTGTGATGGACATGGGCAATGATATATACTCGCAGCATAGAACATATAAAATCCAACCACTAGTGAAGGTGATGTCACCGTGTGATGGACATGGGCAATGATATATACTCGCAGCATAGAACATATAAAATCCAACCACTAGTGAAGGTGATGTCACCGTGTGATGGACATGGGCAATGATATATACTCGCAGCATAGAACATATAAAATCCAACCACTAGTGAAGGTGATGTCACCGTGTGATGGACATGGGCAATGATATATACTCGCAGCATAGAACATATAAAATCCAACCACTAGTGAAGGTGATGTCACCGTGTGATGGACATGGGCAATGATATATACTCGCAGCATAGAACATATAAAATCCAACCACTAGTGAAGGTGATGTCACCGTGTGATGGACATGGGCAATGATATATACTCGCAGCATAGAACATATAAAATCCAACCACTAGTGAAGGTGATGTCACCGTGTGATGGACATGGGCAATGATATATACTCGCAGCATAGAACATATAAAATCCAACCACTAGTGAAGGTGATGTCACCGTGTGATGGACATGGGCAATGATATATACTCGCAGCATAGAACATATAAAATCCAACCACTAGTGAAGGTGATGTCACCGTGTGATGGACATGGGCAATGATATATACTCGCAGCATAGAACATATAAAATCCAACCACTAGTGAAGGTGATGTCACCGTGTGATGGACATGGGCAATGATATATACTCGCAGCATAGAACATATAAAATCCAACCACTAGTGAAGGTGATGTCACCGTGTGATGGACATGGGCAATGATATATACTCGCAGCATAGAACATATAAAATCCAACCACTAGTGAAGGTGATGTCACCGTGTGATGGACATGGGCAATGATATATACTCGCAGCATAGAACATATAAAATCCAACCACTAGTGAAGGTGATGTCACCGTGTGATGGACATGGGCAATGATATATACTCGCAGCATAGAACATATAAAATCCAACCACTAGTGAAGGTGATGTCACCGTGTGATGGACATGGGCAATGATATATACTCGCAGCATAGAACATATAAAATCCAACCACTAGTGAAGGTGATGTCACCGTGTGATGGACATGGGCAATGATATATACTCGCAGCATAGAACATATAAAATCCAACCACTAGTGAAGGTGATGTCACCGTGTGATGGACATGGGCAATGATATATACTCGCAGCATAGAACATATAAAATCCAACCACTAGTGAAGGTGATGTCACCGTGTGATGGACATGGGCAATGATATATACTCGCAGCATAGAACATATAAAATCCAACCACTAGTGAAGGTGATGTCACCGTGTGATGGACATGGGCAATGATATATACTCGCAGCATAGAACATATAAAATCCAACCACTAGTGAAGGTGATGTCACCGTGTGATGGACATGGGCAATGATATATACTCGCAGCATAGAACATATAAAATCCAACCACTAGTGAAGGTGATGTCACCGTGTGATGGACATGGGCAATGATATATACTCGCAGCATAGAACATATAAAATCCAACCACTAGTGAAGGTGATGTCACCGTGTGATGGACATGGGCAATGATATATACTCGCAGCATAGAACATATAAAATCCAACCACTAGTGAAGGTGATGTCACCGTGTGATGGACATGGGCAATGATATATACTCGCAGCATAGAACATATAAAATCCAACCACTAGTGAAGGTGATGTCACCGTGTGATGGACATGGGCAATGATATATACTCGCAGCATAGAACATATAAAATCCAACCACTAGTGAAGGTGATGTCACCGTGTGATGGACATGGGCAATGATATATACTCGCAGCATAGAACATATAAAATCCAACCACTAGTGAAGGTGATGTCACCGTGTGATGGACATGGGCAATGATATATACTCGCAGCATAGAACATATAAAATCCAACCACTAGTGAAGGTGATGTCACCGTGTGATGGACATGGGCAATGATATATACTCGCAGCATAGAACATATAAAATCCAACCACTAGTGAAGGTGATGTCACCGTGTGATGGACATGGGCAATGATATATACTCGCAGCATAGAACATATAAAATCCAACCACTAGTGAAGGTGATGTCACCGTGTGATGGACATGGGCAATGATATATACTCCCAGGATTGAACATATAAAATCCAACCACTAGTGAAGGTGATGTCACTGTGTGATGGACATGGGCAATGATATATGCTCGCAGCATAGAACATAAAAAATCCAACCACTAGTGAAGACGATGTCACCGTGCGATGGACATGGGCAATGATATATACTCGCAGCATATAACATATAAAATCCAACCACTAGTGAAGGTGATGTCACCATGCGATGGACATGAGCAATGATATATACTCCCAGCATAGAACATATAAAATCCCTAGTGAAGGTGATGTCACCGTGTGATGGACATGGGCAATGATATATACTCGCAGCATAGAACATAAAAAATCCAACCACTAGTGAAGACGATGTCACCGTGCGATGGACATTGGCAATGATATATACTCGCAGCATATAACATATAAAATCCAACCACTAGTGAAGGTGATGTCACGATGCGATGGACATGAGCAATGATATATACTCCCAGCATAGAACATATAAAATCCCTAGTGAAGGTGATGTCACCGTGTGATGGACATGGGCAATGATATATGCTCCCAGCATAGAACATATAAAATGCAATGCAGTAAGCTTTATGTTAAGGAACATGCTGTGTTTGATTTGACCTAAGGTACCAGGGAGTTGAGACGAGGGCTGACTTACATCTACAAGGCTCTCCAGAAACGGCACTAGGTTGATGAGTTCTCGGTCTCTTTTATCCATGAACCAGCTCACTATAGGTATTCCGTTGTCTAGCTGTAGCAGAGAACATCAACAATTAACACCAGCAATGATTCGCGTAGTTGTAGACGAACTGAACATTAATCAATCTACAACGTTTTATATTACAACTTGTAATGATGATTTCCAAATTGGCAAAATCTTGTAATGCTGACAACAACTTATGTTTGGGGAGATATCAAATGGATAGGAGAATACACATGCCAGGTGCACTGTGGTTTACAGGGTCAACTAAAACTGTCACCAGAATGGCATACTTATAGCCCCCATTGCACTAAAAACTGTAGGAATAGTTCTTTAAGAACATTTTTTTAATAAACAAGACAAAGTAATGCATGACAATCCATCATCCCCCTAGTAATGCTTTATTTATTTACCTGGCTGTACACTTATCTCAGGATATAGGTCACAGTGACATACTTTATTTATTTACCAGGCGGTACACTTATCTCAGGATATAGGTCACAGTGACATACTTTCTTTATTTACCAGTACACTTATCTCAGGATATAGGTCACAGTGACACACTTTATTTATTTACCAGGCTGTACACTTATCCCAGGATATAGGTCACAGGGACATACTTTCTTTATTTACCAGGCTGTACAATTATCTCAGGATATAGGTCACAGTGACATACTTTCTTTATTTACCAGACTGTACACTTATCTCAGGATATAGGTCACAGTGACATACTTCTTGAACTCCAAACTCCGCTAGCCAAGACATACTTGCATACCAAATCTGGTCACTCCATGTGAAATACTATAGATGATATGTCCCTTACAAACTTGTTCAAATGTTGAAGTAACCATAGGCCACAGTGATTTACTTTCTGTACTGGACACTCCACAATCCCAAGAAAATAATAGTATAGATGATATGCCTCCAACAAACTTTTTCAAAACTTTCATAAAAAGGGGCACAACTCCCATAACAATGTCTGGATCAAAACTCAAGGTGCTCACTTCTGCAGGTGTTGATAACATCAGCAATGTTTTATAAAATTCGGCTAAAAACTGTAGGAGAAAATATCCAGACAAAAGTGTGTCTACAGACGAACAGACAACCCAATTCTCGCCCCTTTCCATCTTTGTTGCAGGGGGTTTAACCATACAAACAAACATAGGAAAAGCCACATTTTATTTTGATCATGCTACTAGTATTTTGGCAGGTATGGTGTGCACAGTAGTCTTTTATATCATGTAGAATGACAAATATAGTTCGTTCCATTTTGCCATCCTGCTTACAAGATTAACGTACCTGGTAACCGAAGGCTTGAGGAGAGTTGTCAATGATGATGGTTTTGGTCAGGTCACGCCCCAGGATTGTTAGATCTTTGATGTAGTTTCCATTTACACATAGGCAGTGTTCCCGGAACAAACGGTGTCTGTAAAGGATGACACTACAGCTGTAGCAGGCTATTGTTACACACAAAGTATCAGGCCTGTTAGGTTATCACTAACATTCAGAAGGAATAACTACATATCATTATCCTTTGCACTGGTTTCTCTGATCAAGTGAAGTGCAAATGATTTTCAACAGATACAGTGTTTGAATTTGATGTCTCCTCAATCTGGAGTTTGATAATGCTTTAACCCTTTCACCCCAACGTAACTTTCGAGACTCTACTCTGCAATGATATCGATGAGTCCATTGTAGTCTGCAGTGGTGAAAGGGTTAACTACCGCAAAGATACTTTTAGAGATCAATTCCTTAGAGATGACATATTACTGTACAATCTTTCTGATAAAATAAGCAAACTGGAGGAATAAATAAGAGTACACGCAGAGAAGTGAACCTAGCAGTGATCTCGCAGACTTTTTATGTTACTACAATTTCACCTTATGCAGCTATTTCCCCAGGAATGTGCATTATCATTGATTTCTCCATTGTATGTAGAGCAATGTATGGTAATAATTGAATACACAAATCAATGGTTTCGTGTTACTACATGTACCATGTAAAATGTTGCGTGTCCCACATTGCTACCTTGTCATGGATTGTCTTATTGCTATCGCTGTGGCCCTCCTGTATGATTTTTTTTTTTACTGGGATTTTTTTTTGTATTAACTGATCTAGTCATGTTCCTTTATTGTGTAAAAATTGATAACCACTTAACACTTCCTGTAGTATAAGCTTACTTAATATAGCGTTTATCAGGATCCAGTAAATTCATCAGTTTGTCTGCGTAGACTTTCTTGGAGGCAGTGAACAAAATGACCTCATAAAGCTGCGAAACTCGCTCAAGGAATTCGCGAAAGTGGGGCCGAGTACGCACAAACACCTGAAACAAATGACACATGTAGAACAGGGACATAGAACAGGATTTAATGAAATAAAACTGATATGTAGCTTCCAATTATTTCAATAAGCAAGCTCAAAATTATTATAGCTATTTCAGTATGGGGCAAGGCCCTGCCCTTCCAAATTCTTTTTTAACACTTTTGTAATTGATGGCAATTCTGGTGCTTTGGGTTTTTATATACCTTGTTTTAAAACATCTTTGTAATAAAAAAAAATAACAGATGTAACAGTGGTCACTGATGTTCCCCGATGTTATCAACAAAATTTGTGGGAGGATGTATTTTTTCATAAATATTAAAGTTAAATAAGCTAAGTGGAAACCACACACAAACTACCGTAATTCCTATTATATCGCTCCCCTCATTTATTATTATTTTTTGCACATATCAGTTTTACCTGGTAGGTGACATCTTGGAACAGGACGGGAAATGTGAATGCAGCATCCTCAAGCTCAGTCAGGCTACAGTGGACCAGGGTCTCATCCTGAAAACCAAATCTCTTGTTCGAGATTATCCTTATCATAGACAAGAGTTCAGTTTGTCTACTGATTGTTTTAACAACATTTGAGATAAAGGGTAAAATTATCATTAAAGTCATCTATGCAAGTTACTGATATTAAAGAAACATTTATGAATCATTAGTGTCTTTTCTTAAGTTCATGGAAGGGGATGTTTTAAGATATACACCATAATTTTATATACAAGAGGCCCAAGGGCCTTAGCGGTCACCTGAGTTATATCATAGATNTACCCGATCTCAAGACACACTTCACGTAAAAACTAAACGTAGGGTTTCACACTATATACACAGAGATGTACAAGTCCCATTTTCAATACGCAAATCTTGTCTTTCGCATAAAAAATCCCAAAATGATAGCTGGATTGGACACATCAACATGTTGTGAACAAAGGACCACCAGGACTAATTTTAGTACCTCACATTCCATTATCTGTAGAGGTAGTACAAACCTAGAGTAAATAGTACCAGCGAGAGATCACTGACAAACTATTGTAAAAGCATAATATTTAGTGAACTCATTCCCTATGCACTGGTCTACTGGTTTTAATTCTGAACGTAATAAATTACCAGGTCAAGGACCAGAGAGAACTCGGGGGAACTCCTGGTCTTTAGAGGTAAGGCAGGCATGCGGACACGCAGCTCATCTGTGAGAGGTGGTAGGTTCTTTATAAACAGGTATCTACAATAAATACGTCTCTTTATGATCACACAATGGACTGATCTACAACATCACTAATCTGACATGCTAACCAGACAACAAATGCTCACTATGACACTCATATGTTTAATACACATTTTAAACTAATCTGGTGAAATTTTATATTTCTATATTTGTTAATAAGTGATACTTAAAAACACAAAAGTTTGAGGCCAAATCTTTCTTTGAATTATTTCACTTTCTTCCCTAGGTCTAGCCGATCATTGCTCTAACTGTTGATCATTGTTATGATTTTATCATATTTGATTTCCTAATCGTAAATTTACGGATAGTTAAAGATAATGAGTTGAAACTGTGATCTATAAAGGACTCAATTTGTATCAACTTACGGATCGAATGGTTCCACCTCCCAGTCTCCCTCCTCAAACGACTCCTCTGTTGTATTCTGTTCCTCCTCACCCGGATAAACCACTATCTCCCCTTCTGAACCCTCCACCTTCCTGTAATTAAGCAATGGATTGACAATACTTACACATGTTAAAGGTATGCCCAAGGCAAGTTTATGTATCTAGATTTCTGAGAATCTGTTACAGCCACTTTCAGTGATTACAAACCATTTTGTATAAGAATTATATTTTTAGTAACAGCGACCTTGACTTTTGACTAATGATACTAATCAGTGCAAACACAACTATGAAGTTTCAAGAAAATCTCTCCAGACATACGGCCACTAGATTGATGACAATGAGTGTGACAGTGAACTTGACCTTTGACTTACAACTCCCACCACGACAAACACTACCAGGAAGATTCATAACAATCTGTCAATACTGCTGCTAGAGTGTTGATTAAGGGATATGATGATAAAGTCTCACTCTGTTTTTGACCACTGACAGATAATGTCTATATTCAAAGTTGTTGAAGGTAAGACAATGGCAAACAAACCTGCAGAGTTTCAACAAAATGTAGCTGTTGGAGTGATGACAAAAATAGTGTGATACAGTGGAACCCTCTTATTATGATACATCGGTTATTATGATATTTTTCCCATGTACCGATTTTTTCCTCCTTTAACTCATTCACCCCTGAACACACATTTGAACTCTTTCGATTCAAAGGTTGGAATAGTTCATTACGAAATTTCAGGGGTGAATGAGTTAACTAAGCAAACAAAATTCATTTATTATGATGTGGTCAAAGGTAGGACCCCGCTTATTATGGTATTTTTTTCTGCCGCGAATGGATTTTATAAGGTAAAAACTCAGGTAAGTTGTCTGTGTGAAACACCTGGACAATTACGCAACAGGTCCGGCTAACTGTACATCGCCCGAGGTAATCATCTGTCCACTCAAGGTACATTTTTCACACCTCGCTTAACCCCAGTCAGCGGAAAACAATAGATCGACCATCGCTTGCTGGTCATACATTTTAAACAAAACATTTGGTGAAGTTAAATGCTGTAGGACTGTATATCAAATTAAAATAATTAGGCCAATTCCGATAAGAAAACGAGAATGCCTTTCACAAATATTCATGGTAACCTTGACAGGTCATGTGAGAAAATCATGCCGATTTCAATGAAAATATTACTTCAGAAAGAAGACCTGAGTTTTTAATCATTTAAGCAATAGTTTCTTAATTGCATTAGAAGTTTATTTCACCATGTTTCCGTTGAAATAGTGCCGGAAATCGATCAAAATTTTACGTTATTGTCGTAAAAAATTTACGACGGCTGCTTTATTTACAATTTACACCATTTTCGTTAAATACAATATTTGATTATTGTTAAAAAGGGATATATTGTGTTTTTAATTGTTATTGTTTCTTTGCAAGTTGATTTCACCGAACGACTTGCGAGGCATGTGATTGTCATGTGATCATAATTGACATAGCGCGGCAAAAAATGTTTACGCTTACGGGACAAATTGTTACACAACTTCTCGTTGCAAAATAGGTAAATCATGACTATTTATATCACTTCTTTCATACTACTGACTGTAACATTACGATATTGTAAGCTACAAGTGTAGGATGTAGTATAAAGATAGTTCTAAGGAATATTCTCGAAGTTATTTGAAAGTGAAAGTAGAATTTACATACTGATCATTACGACGGCAAAACGACAACTTCTCAAATTTTTCCAACACGCTGATATGAATAACAATGAACAAATTATTTCAATTATTAATTTATGTTTTTCCAAATTTCCACATCAATCTATGTCTGATTGATATAGGGCATCTCACTTCCGATTCCGACAATATAAAAACGATTGAAAACAAATAGCTTGATCGGTTATTATGATATATCGGTTATTATGATATTTTTCTCAGGCAAATAGGTATATCGTAATAAGCGGGTTCCACTGTATTGAAATTCTATTATTAAAGGGCCTGACACACCTAGCCGATTTGGGTCGCCCGAGCTATACCGGAGCACAAATTTGGCGATTTTCTGGGATCGGTATTAGTACAGCAGCGTAATGGTACACGTCGCTAAGAATGATATTACATAAACAGGACATCGTCGAAAAAATTAGCAACGGCAGGTGACGGTAGATTTTTCGAACACGCTTACAAGTTTTCGCCGTAACGCTGCCAGAGGGAGCAACAGGACTACAACGGAAGTACATCGGCAGTACTCTCCTGTTGCCTCAATGTGTACCTTACTGGTACCAATGTGATACCAGAGTACTACTGAATACCATTGAAGTGGTACTGATGCGTCGCCGATGTACTACCGTAACATTGGCAGCACAACGGTATCACTCCGCTATAGCTCCGGTCAACGATGGCATATTGTTAGAACAACGGCGGTAACACTGAGGTGACAGAAAAGTCATATTAGTTGGCACATCGGCTCTTACATAGGTAGAACAACAGGAACGCCAGTACTTATCGGTATTTTTAAAGTGCTTTGACGCCGGAACCCTGCTGATTTTCTCGTCGTTATTTTTTGCTGCGGTTTAGTCCCGGCGAGGTACAACAGTAGTGTGTGACAGGCCCTTAAGTGGCCTTGACCTTTGAAAGATGATGAAGCCTGTATTTAAACCTATCCAAGTTGTGTCCAAAACTATAGTGGGTGCACATGATTGGAAACTAATGGATTTCTATTATCTTCATTCTTACCTGTAGACTAGGTTATTATTATCTTCAGTGACTACTCTCTCGTCGTTGTCAAGATAACCAACATTGTTGGTGTTGTTGTCAAGGCAGCCATTGTTGTTGTCTAGGCAACTGACATTGTCAAGGCAAGCCAAATTATTGTTGTAGGCAGGTTCCTTGTTTTCTTTTGCTAAAAAGAAATAACTTGATCAATTACAGATGTTTGTTTACCTACCGGTAATACACTTAACACTGTCCAAACTTGAAATTAAAAAGGTTTTTTGTCTTATTATAATAAAAGAACTATAAAGTCACTTTTCTTTGAGGAACACACCAGGTCTAGGCCTACTGCTTACCCAATGCGATGTACGGTTTCTTCTGCAAATTGATAATTGAACCGTTCTCATGGAAATGATTGGAATTAGTATTGTTTTCACACAGGAGGTTATAACTAGTTGGAAATCTTAAAGGTAGGCATTAGCATTCGTTGTATGTTTGCTTCTTTCAGGGCCGTTATTGGGGGAGGGGCAGGGATTGTGCATTATATATTTTAATTGGTCGTATTTTACTTCTATTTCCACTTATTTTAGATAAATGCTATCTTTGATGGGTTCCATTTCAATTTTATTCAACTGATCCGATACAAAAGGTCGGTAAAAATTGTGAAAGTGTTATATATATGTATATTATAAAAAGAAAAATTCTCAACGAGTCTTTAGTACTTTCATCTCTTCTAGGAGATTCTTCAGACTGTTGAATACAAATGAGTCAGTTGGTAAATATGTATATATATATATAGTATAGTATAGAAGTGTCACCTTGCGCACATACGTGTTTTGAACAAATGATAACCGGTTTGACAAGTAATGCGCTTTTTATACCCAGCGAGACCCATGCATACTCGTTACCAAGTGAAGGACAAACTAAAATGTTGGCACTTCCTTAGAAACAATCATCGGAAGAGAAAGGTTTTAAACTTGCACTGTCAGCTTTAATCAAGACTACTGCATATTATAAACTTATGAAACATTTTTTTCCCACTCAAAATGCAGTTGAAAAAAGTTGTTTTCACACAATAATTTGGTATAAAAGCCTGCTGAATTTTTGTGTGAAAACAACTAACAAAATAATATACAAGATTTACCTCCTCTTTATCAGTATTAGTATCGCATTTTGACTAACACAAACTCATAAAAACTACTTTTAAAGTGTGTTTTTCAAATTACTACAAAACAATACCTCATTGTTCAAATTAAGGTGTTTTTCACAGAACACAAGAAGTATCTTTTAGGTTTTGACCCGAGATATAACGGACATCAATAAATCCATTGTTAAGTCTACTAACCTGAAGACGAATAATCAGAATCGTCACTTTCTTCTACTCCAAAGTCAAGCGACTTGGCAATGAGATCCAAATCATCAGTCTCAGGTCCTGGAAAACAGTATCATTATTTCTTCAAGTTTAGTAACTATAAGAGATTTTTCTTTGTCAACAAAAACGTGTCTCCCCTTATCAGCCAATATGTATATTTGCTGGTTTTGGGTTAGATCGGATGCACAAAAATATATTAAGGGTTGCGGGTTCGAGTCATGTAACAGCATTGTACTTATCTTTGAATACGATTCTTTACCTCCACTTGTTCCAGTCTACTCAGCTGTAAATGAGTATGTGGCTGGGCAGTGCTGGAATCGTTGAATGCTAAATGTGAGTGCCTAAAGGGCAGCACCAGCTGTATGCTCCCCAGTGAGTCGAGAAAGATATTGGCCCAATAACAAGGGATAATAATTTGTGAACCGTTTTGAGACGACCTACGTTGTGATAAAGCTGTATATAAGAAGCGAGAGTTATTATTATTTGATCCACCTTTCTACTGCAGATGTTTATATTTGTCTCCACATGTGAACCTACCTCCGAAAAATTGTGGAACTGTTCATCCATTTAATCCATTAATTATACATACTCTTCCCACAAACAGCCACATAACTCAAAAGTTCAGTTGGTAGCTAACCTCACCGAGTTAGTGAATTGGTAACATACCTCGCACAGTTTGTGGTAGTTTCTTTATAGCACGTTGGTAGTTTATTACCTTGCCCAGTTAGTGGTCAGTTGGTAACTCTATTACCTTGTCTAGTTAGTGGTCAGTTGGTAACTTTATTACCCTGTCTAGTTAGTGGTCAGTTAGTAACTTTATTAACCTGTCTAGTTAGTGGTCAGTTGGTAACTTATTACCTTGTCCAGTTAGTAACTAATCACCTTGTCTAAAGTAAGTGGTCAGTTGTTAACTTTATTACCCAGTCTAGTTAGTGGTCAGTTGGTAATTTTATTACCCTGTCTAGTTAGTGGTCCGTTGGTAATTTCATTACCCTGGCTAGTTAGTGGTCAGTTGGTAACTTTATTACCCTGTCTAGTTAGTGGTCAGTTGGTGACTTATTACCCAGTCTAGTTAGTGGTCAGTTGGTAACTTTATTACCCTGTCTAGTTAGTGGTCAGTTAGTAACTTTATTAACCTGTCTAGTTAGTGGTCAGTTGGTAACTTATTACCCAGTCTAGTTAGTGGTCAGTTGGTAATTTCATTACCCTGTCTAGTTAGTGGTCAGTTAGTAACTTTATTACCCTGTCTAGTTAGTGGTCAGTTAGTAACTTTATTACCCTGTCTAGTTAGTGGTCAGTTAGTAACTTTATTACCCTGTCTAGTTAGTGGTCAGTTGGTAACTTTATTATCCAGTCTAGTTAGTGGTCAGTTGGTAACTTTATTACCTTGTCTAGTTAGTGGTCAGTTGGTGACTTATTACCCTGTCTAGTTAGTGGTCAGTTGGTAATTTTATTACCCTGTCTAGTTAGTGGTCAGTTAGTAACTTTATTACCCTGTCTAGTTAGTGGTCAGTTGGTGACTTATTATCCAGTCTAGTTAGTGGTCAGTTGGTAACTTTATTACCCTGTCTAGTTAGTGGTCAGTTGGTAACTTACCTTGCCCATTAAACTGATAAGTCGGGGAAAATATTGTCCCGTGGTTAGTAGTACGTGGAGGACTTGTTGGATCGTTATTTTCAGTCACTTGATTCAATGGTTTCTTTTGACCTCCTGCTAAAACAAAGATTCACAAAACTGTTCAAGAAACTAATTTCTGTTGAAATGGTACCTAGAGTCAATTCTCTACAACATATCCCAATCTGTTCATGATTTCCCCTTTGCACAATTGTGACAGGTGACTGGAACCCTATTGAAAAAGGACCCTGATGGAATACAAATGTGTTATTTTTCCCATGTTGGTTCACTTATTTGACACATCTAGATCTAGATCGATTCATTTCAGAGAACAAGTTGTAACAAACTAGCATCCATTTTCCTATCATTCTGGGTTGATTTTACTCCTTCATAACCAAAAAGCAGTGTTTTTTCTATCTAAACTTTACAACAACCTGTTCCTACTCGAATATTTTTTTCAAATTGGGAAGATGTTTTTGATATTTTGTATTTGAGGGAGTAGGATGTGGTGGCTGTTCCCACACTTTTCAGACACAAGATGAGAGGTAATGTTAGAGATGTATATACAGTTCATCACACTTTATCGCTGACATACCCATTTTCTTTGCCTTGACTGGGTACGGTGTGGAGGAGATGAGAACCTCTACATCTCCACCGAGGGTCTGGGCGTCGTCTTCGTCAGCCAGCACTTCCTCTTCCTTTGGAGGGACTCCAGTAGTTCCATCTTTCCGGCCAAATATTCCTGAGGCTTTTTTCCTTTTCATGGGGGTTCCATCCTGGACCTTAATTATAACCAGGAATTTAGAACCAATGACTTATTCCCAAACAACTGACTGGTATCAACGATTTCAAATCTTTAAAAAACAAAAGTTCATCTAGATGTTAAAAAGGTTGCCTCCAATTATTTTGGTCAACATGTCATGTCTTGAAGATAAAAAAATATCTTGCACTTTGAAATTCTTAAAGTATATTTATTTTACAATATTTACCAGCCTTCTTGCATTTTACTTTGAAATTGATTTAAGCTGTCTGAAGACACTGTACATAATTAATACAGTTCTTTTTTTATAACAGAATGTGCTGTTACCTCTGCTGAACCCCCTGTGACGAGTGTGCGCTTAAGCTTGCGACCAGTGGGTTGTGATACAACTGATGAACCACGCTCTCCTGTCTTCGGTTTTCGGAGACGAGTCACGTTCCCTTGTTTGTGGCGTAGCTGCATTCTGGTATAGCTACATTCCAAAGAAAGACCTGAAAGATAACAAAAACATTCCTTACTTACTAACTTGTTTATTAGCTCTGCCTCACAATAAATATTCTGTTCACGCTCAATATCCTCACATAGAAATTATAAATACTTTATTTGATAATGCATTTTTGGATAAAATATCATGATCAACTGTTTTCCGGGTTAAAGTGTCAATCTTAGCCTACATACATATATCTAATTGAATTATACACAAAATGTTATATCTGGTTGAGGATGCTCCTCTAAGAGGTTATTGCCTCTCTCTGCTACAAAAACGAAATTTGCCATAACATTACATATTTTTTAAACTAGCGTGATGCAAATATTGCTACATCAGAGAAGTGCTGGAATTTTAAGCATAATCTAGTTCTAATGGAAGCATGCCTATAAGTGTACGCTTGACAACACTTCAAAGCTTCATTTTGAATGGGTTAGTCATTGCAATTCTGCCAATGAATTGCTGCTATTATCTGGTAAGATTTTGAAACAAAAAATACTGTACATCAATTGCAATGGTGCAGTTATATAAATAGCCTATTGTATATATGTTACAAAGGTGGAACAAAACAACCAATTGTTCGGTGTAGTTATATAAATGGCATATTGTATATGTTACAAAGGTGGAACAAAACAACCAATTGTTCTGCCAATGCAGAAATAGGACATTTTCACTGAATCATGGATGTACAGATTAAATTATAACTCCTTAATTACGATATATATCATATATAAAGAATAAAAACATAAATCTTTCAGATCGTCTGCTAGCTAGGCCTTTCTGCCTTCTTGGGCTTCTTCAGGCGCTTTCATATATATATATATATATATAGATATCCAATTAAAAGTGTGTGTTCAGTTCGAAGACCAATTTTGGTCGGTTTCGGCATGTATAGCATGACTGGGGTTAATATTGTATCAGAAGTTTACTGTACAGCATGACTAGGGTTAATATTGCATCAGAAGTTTACTGTATAGCATGACTGGGGTTAATATTGCATCAGAAGTTTACTGTATAGCATGACTGGGGTTAATATTGTATTAGAAGTTTACTGTACAGCTTGACTGGGGTTAATATTGTATTAGAAGTTTACTGTACAGCTTGACTGGGGTTAATATTGTATTAGAAGTTTACTGTACAGCATGACTGGGGTTAATATTGCATCAGAAGTTTACTGTACAACATGACTGGGGTTAATATTGATCAGAAGTTTACTGTAAAGCATGACTGGGGTTAATATTGTATCAGAAGTTTACTGTACAGCATGACTGGGATTAATATTGCATCAGAAGTTTACTGTACAGCATGGCTGGGGTTAATATTGTATCAGAAGTTTACTGTACAGCATGACTAGGGTTAATATTGCATCAGAAGTTTACTGTACAACATGACTGGGGTTAATATTGCATCAGAAGTTTACTGTACAACATGACTGGGGTTAATATTGTATCAGAAGTTTACTGTGTAGCATGACTGGGGTTAATATTGTATCAGAAGTTTACTGTACAGCATGACTGGGGTTAATATTGTATCAGAAGTTTACTGTATAGCATGACTGGGGTTAATATTGTATTAGAAGTTTACTGTACAGCATGACTGGGGTAAATATTGCATCAGAAGTTTACTGTACAGCATGACTGGGGTTAATATTGTATCAGAAGTTTACTGTACANGGCATAGGAATTTGGCTAAACTTTTTTTGATAACGGTTACCTATTTAATAATACTTTTCACATAAACTCACATAACAACACATTATGTATCTTTTATTAATGTTTGACATAAATAAATTTGTTGACCGTCAGTTGTCTTAGAGCTCCGTGTATAATAAATAAGGGAAATAATCCAAGATGGCGATCTCCCAGAATCGTCGATCTTTTCCTGAAANATTGACTGAAAAGTCTTGGTCATTCAATTGAAAGCTGCTCCCATTTTCTGGAGGTTTAAGCTGAAGGTGTTTTAACTTAGACTGTAAGACATGGTGAACACATGTACATGTATATTGCTTTCTAAGTTTCTAGTCTACATACCTGGACTTCCAAATAACAGTAAACATTCAACAGAATTAAAATCCAATATTAAGAGGGAATTGGAGAAGCTGGCTATTAGTTTCAAGTTTTAACTAGACTTCAGCTGTTCACATCAGCGTAATGGAATGTTGATCATATATGTAGAGTTCATTTGACAGTCCGACTTAGGGTGTGTAACATACTACTGTAGGATTGGTCAATTTTCTCACGTTCAACAGGCAGATGTGAAATTTCCCATGTCGTTGTCTACACAACACTGAATGATCCAAACAGAGATTAAATCTCTCCACTGATTAAACTTCTAGCAGAAGCACTGACTGACAAGTTACCTGATCATTTCTTAAGCTCAACTTTTTTAATCCTGAAACAGATTTTGTTCATTTCTTTCCTGATTGAGTTAAATTTAATTTCAAATGACTCATCCAACTATATAAAATATATATATTTATATCATTACTTCTGATGCCAAATACTATATCTAGCTATGGATATTTACAGTTAAAAACTAGTAACAGAACCACATAGATTCTTACATATGTAACATTCCTGACAAACCTACAAATGGTCTTTCTTGTACAGGTTTAATATGTGGCCTAATATAAAATAATTTTTGTCATAACCCGACTGTCCCAGAAAAAAGACCCTACTCAAAACATTTTATTGAACTTGGAAATTTTATTTTACTGTACAGTACAGCTGTATAACCCCGATATACTGCCACTGTCCGTTCATAGACATTTTGGCGCTACAACGAGTTGTCCCTGATAAATGACAGGTGGATGAATGCTTGTTTGTTTTGGGGCACATATATATCCAACACTTACCAATGAAAACTCAAATATACATGTATATATGCAGTTTTCAATATACACACTGTTTTTGAAAGAATAATTAGTTCGGAAATATTGATTTAGATCTGGTATTACGATCAGTGTGTCATATGCAAGATATACACTTTACGAGTACCGCGGCGAAAGTGGCAGTTTTACGTGCCCGTATTTACAGATTTACAAGTAATGTCTGCATGGGGTGCCAATATTCACATTTCTCTACTGCAAATGCCATCATTTCTGTACGTCAGACTCTGTAGTCAAGTGCAATTGTTTGACTAAGTAAAGAACCGTCTCAATATCCTGTTTCGCTGCTGCACAACCAAGGCGGATATCGTTTAGAGTTCGTCTCGTCTGGATTTTTTCACATCAAGAATATCATTGTCCGATAATACCTGAGTGGGTTGCGTCACAGTCACGTGGCAAAAAAAAATTACATGATGAGCACAGCGGAGTTGTCCTGTCGGTATCATCAAATCAATTTAGATTTGTTGGTCCAATTACCATCCACAGTCCGACGTTTCATTGTAAAATGAATTGAATATCTTCACAACTTGTTTCCTTTTTTTGAGAAGCCATGTGGACAGCCATATGATGTGAATGAATGAATAAATAACTGACGGAGGTAATATGGTCAATTGTATTCAGATGTAAATTAATACATTGATTATAATTTAAGTTCTGAATTTCCATTGTCCAGTAACTAGAACAGTTGTACTACAGGTAGTTGCCAGGGTGTACAACAAATTGATCATGATCACCCTTGGTATACTTTACAGGAACCTTTGTTTTTGTTTTTTTAGCACATGGTGTTGCTTACTGGTTGTATGCACAGGGACCTGAGAATTGGTTACAGCTATTTATATTTGGATCTAAACTAAGGTGTTCAGAGTAATCTTAGTTTAGATTAATTTTCAGTATATATATACGAGAAGACAAGAAAGCTTTCTGTGTCGAAAAATCGACCCCAATTAACTTTCTTGCAAAAAAACACATTTCTAAGTGATGTTTGAAAAAATGTTTGGTACCATTGGAAAGATGGATGGACTTAATTAACAACAAATTCTCAGGTCCCTGTGGTTGTGTGACGTAGCTTTGGTGCATCCATTAATGCACTCATTGAATGATGATGTACTTATTTTGGAAAAAATACAAATGATGACATCAACTTTATTGAGAAACAGCATCTAAGAAAGAATATGTGGTTAAAAATATGCGCTTTTATTTTTTAATGTTAACAAACAGTCAAACAAAACAACGGCCAAATATTGGGTCTTTCTATCCCAAAATAGTTGCTGTATACCTCAGATTCCATGGCCTGTCCTCTATATAAGTTGTTCATGCAACTCGAGAATCAATTCTTGAAATTCAGCAAAATTTACCCAAACCCAAAATCCACGGGGTGCACTAAATAAATGAAAAATTGTCAAATGTCTGAGGTGTGTTGTAATTTGTTGCATGATCGGCCTAATAAATATGCCTACACCGACTTGGACAGACACCTCGTTGCATAAATTGGGTTTTTTCATGTTGAGCTATTGGAATCGATGCACAATGTCGCCTACAGCCGAGTTGGTTGTTGTCCGTCGTGTTATGAATGGAGAAAGTAGGTCAGCCACTCACACTCTGACGTCACTATGCGAGGAAGAGTTCATCGATTTTTTCGCGTAAATTCTGAATCATCTTTGAAAATAGATCGCCGATTTCCAGGACAATTTTGGGAACTTCAACATTGGTATGCAGAAAATATATGGTAAGATCCCAAATTCATTGTGAATAAATATTGCAACACAAAACCTGATTAACAGCCGTGAAGATCAAGGTCAGGAATTTTCTTGCATGAAGTTTGTACATAGCGGGCAAGACATCCCGACATGGCTGTCTGCCAACAGTTAGACCAAACCGACACCTCAAATATCATCTCGATTTAAAAGTTTAAACTTATTTGGCGCATTATGATTAGTATAAATGAAGCACAAACTACAATACTGTATATACTGGAAAACAGGACATATCGAAATATCAACAAACTTACCCCAAATAAACTGTTTACTCCGACTCCATTTCGCGCGTAGGCTTGAAGACCCGGATGTACGTATTTGTACGCATGCGTGGTACTACAACTAAACAACATTGTAAACATAGACACACACAAAACCACGTGGGCCTATATCAGGCCACAAACGTAAAAATCATATTTCGAAAACTATATTGACACGTATGTCATATGTACAAAGTGTGTTATTATATTTGAAAACTGCATTCTGTCCAAACGGGGCTCTGTCTAACCCACAGAGCCTCTCTGTTTCGGACCAGTTAAAGAAACCGATGTTGCGAGGTACTTGAAGATGATTGGTCCCAGGAAGGCTACTGGGGTAGACAACATTTCACCAAAAATATTGCACCTTACTAAGGTGAATTTTTAAATCCAATCACTTCTCTGATCAATAGGTCTCTTGCAGAGGGATGCTTCCCTGATCAATTAAAATTGGCCAGGGTATCACCAGTCTATAAGAAAAGGGTTCCCTCTGCAAGGGAAACTATAGACCAGTAAGTATTTTACCTGCCATGCCCAAACTGTTTGAGAGAGCCATATCAAAACAGTTGAATGGTTTCTTCCAGACAGTTTTCCATCCAGCTCCCTCTACTTTTCGAGGGGAGGACAGTTGTCAATCAGCTTTATTATTTATAACAGAGGAATGCCGGCGTGCCTTGGATAGAAATGCCTTGGAGCCATACTTATGGACCTATCCAAGCTTAAGGCATTCGTCTGCCTGCCGCACTGTATCATCCTCGAGAAGCTGAGAGCGTATGGTCTCTTTGAACACGCCTTACAACTAATAAACAGTTATCTATCACACAGAAAGCAGTGTGTGAAAACAGGTAACTGTTCTAGTACATATGAATACATTGTAAAGGGTGTACCCCAAGGCTCTATCCTGGGGCCCCTACTTTTTAATGTGTTCATAAATGATATTTTTTACACCATTAATGATGCAACATTACTAAATTATGCAGACGACAGTACTTTATCATATGCAGATTCTTGTTATCAGAAAATGATAGAAGTTTTAGAAAGGGAAAGTTTAAATTCAATAAATTGGTTTGATGTAAATCAGATGCAAGCAAACCCAGAAAAAATTCAGGCCCTAGCTATTGGCAAACAAACTTTTGAACAAAAACCCATTTTTTTTTCATTGGCGACACTAGTATTCCGTGTGAGGAATCAGTAAAACTACTTGTAGTCGAAATTGACTTCCTCCTAATTTTTTCTCAACATATAACAAATATCTGCAACAAGGCATCAAGACAGATAAATGTATTTTTAAAGGACGGAAGGCAATTTATAACTCTTTTATACTTTCAAATTTTAACTTCTGTCCCTTAGTGTGGCATTTCTGTAATAAAGGTAGCACTGACAAAATTGAAAAAGTAAACTATAGGGCCCTGACATTTATTTACCAGGATTTTCACTCAAGTTATGAGGTCCTTTTAAGAAAGTCTCAGACAAACATGCTACATGTGGAGAGACTAAGGAAAATAGCCATTGCAACTTTTAAGTTTGTCTATGGAATATGTCCATATTATCTAAAAGAAACAATACAAACTAATAAAAATGAACATTATTCTGGTACCTACGGTACCTCGCGGCGAAACTATGGCCGAGGCAAGAAATGCTGTGGATGTTGCCAGTTTCAAGACATGTATGGGAAGCTGGAACGGCCAAACCTGTAGATGTGCTATGTGTAAATCCCTTACGTCTTAACTATGTGAATATTTTTAAATGTTTTGCATGCCCGTTTTAAGTTACATCTGTGATTATGAAGCTAGCTGCTGCTCCTGCTTTTGTGCTTTATTATGATTAGCTTGTGTACTGTAGTATGCTTTATATGTATCTTAAAAAAAAAAAGTTTTTGTTTTGTTTTGATATATTATCAGCCTGTGATATGTTTCTAAATTTATCTGTGATTATGTTGAATATATGACCTTTTATAAGAAAATAAGAATTTAACAAAATCCTGAGTTACTGGGGTGCAGGTCGAGCATACCATGCTGGTAGGGGGCTCCCCAACCCTTGGTGCCAACCATGTACCACTGGGAAATCTTTTCTCAAGTTCTTGTATATCTTTCCTTCATCACAAATCAAATTATAAGCAAATGTGATCAAATAATAAATTAAATTCAAAATGTGATAAATGTAACTTGCCACTTTTACCGCATTAATATTATTCTTATTTAATTAAAATCAAATGTTTTATTGGATGCTTCCTCCCTAATTGTATCTTTTACAGCATGAACATATCTTGTTTAATTAATGAAACCTTGTTTTATGTATGTTTTATTTGTTATGTGATTGTAAAAGCTCACTAAACGAGCTTGTGTTTTATCTTTGTAATCATGTCGACGATAAATAAAATTTACTTGACTTTGGTAGGGGAGAGCGGGGCTAGTTCGGCCCATATTTAGTCGTTTTGGACAATATGACATTCGTTGAAATGTATGTGTTTATACGCCATTCGGAAGAAAAATCAATACCTGTCATAAAAAATGACAAAATGGCAAACACGTCCGTATTTGACTAACTATTTAACTTTTTTTCCGTCTGAAAACTGGAGGGCCAATCGTGCTCCGGGGCCAGGCCACCTTAATGGCGTCATAAAGTAAGAAACGTCAGAGTTCCCGTCAATTTCACGATTTCTTTTCTATGTGTTTGATGGGCCGAACGATTACATGAAATCCTTATTAATTATAAATTACATCTCATTGACCAACATTATCTCAATTCTTACCTCGTTAACAGATCTCATATGTTGCTCAGTAAGATCTGTCTATATGTGCTTCAATGCTGTCTGTCTCTTATCAACTTCTATAGGGTCTTTGCGTGAAAGTTTTTTTTACATGTCAGGAACTTCCTAAATCAGATTTAGATTTTTAGCCGTTATATGTTCGCCTCCGCCAGGTAATTTTCCCACGCACAACGACTTTAATTATTAAATACTTAAGGTTAAGTTATAAATAACTGATGTATTTGTAAAGTTCTTTTATGACCTTGGGATGCATCTCCTCAAAAGTGTAGATGATATTCCTGTCTTCAAATTCTGGTAATTATAAGTCGCCTGGAGGGAGGGAATCCCGTGTAAAAACAATGCTGAAAAACTCCCAACACTTCCGGTTTATCTAAGACTGGCATTTATTGACCATCCCCACTTAATCCACTTAAGTCTGAAATCCCAGCTTTCACTTTCCTTTTAGCATTTACATATTTCCAAAATTGTTTTGGTTGCAATTTAAAATTAATTGTGCACTCCGTCTTACGGAAAAGTTAGTTCATCAAAAACTGTGGTTGATGACCAACAGGGAAACGCTTTAAAATTCGTTGAGTTAAAATTAGAAATCAAACTTTTATACAATATTTACGGAAGTAGAATGATTTATACGCGACTACCATTTTGTATTCTGATATAGAGGCTTTACGTCTGCGTTCACCATTTATCGTAATAACTCGTAATCACTCCATGTTCTCACTGATTTTACAGTCAAATTATATATGTATCTGTTTGGGTTTCGTTTTTTCTTAAAATTATAAAGGTTATGTTTAAAAGTAAACAATAATAGTAATAATGCAACTACATGTATAGTGTAAATCGACCATCTCCTATGTTATGACGTCGCTATAGTAACCACTTCAGATTGGTGTTCTCATAGGTCCCACATGACTTTATAGTAGGTTTATATCTATTGTTTATGCACAGCAAATACACTGTGATGAAAACGTCAGTACATCTTACGGCAGGTCCATGCCTATACTATCGAAAATCAGTAAAACGTCAGTTCATCTTACGCCAGGTCCCTGGCTATACTATCGAAAATAAGTAAAACGTCAGTACATCTTACGTCAGGGGCCTGGCTATACTATCGAAAATCAGTAAAACGTCAGGACATCTTACGGCAGGTCCCTGGCTATACTATCGAAAATCAGTCAAACGTCAGTTCATCTTACGGCAGGTCCCTGGCCATACTATCGAAAAACAGTAAAACGTCAGTACATCTTACGGCAGGGCCCCGGCTAGTAAAACGTCAGTACATCTTACGGCAGGTCCCTGGTTATAATATCGAAAATCAGTAAAACGTCAGTACATCTGACGACAGGTCCCTGGCTAGTAAAACGTCAGTACATCTTCCGACAGGTCCCTGGCTTTACTATCGAAAATCAGAAAAACGTCAGTACATCTTACGTCAGGTCCCTGGCTATACTATCGAAAATCAGTAAAACGTCAGTTCATCTTACGGCAGGGCCCTGGCTATACTATCGAAAATCAGTAAAACGTCAGTTCATCTTACGGCAGGTCCCCGGCTATACTATCGAAAATAAGTAAAACGTCAGTAAATCTTACGGCAGGTCCCGCGCTATACTATCGAAAATCAGTAAAAAGTCAGTACATCTTACGACAGGTCCCTGGCTAGTAAAACGTCAGTACATCTTCCGACAGGTCCCTGGCTTTACTATCGAAAATCAGAAAAACGTCAGTACATCTTACGTCAGGTCCCTGGCTTTACTATCGAAAATCAGTAAAACGTCAGTACATTTTACGGCAAGTCCTGGCTTTACTATCGAAAATCAGTAAAACGTCAGTACATTTTACGGCAGGTCCTGGCTTTACTATCGAAAATCAGGAAAACGTCAGTACATCTTACGTCAGGTCCCTGGCTATACTATGGAAAATCAGTAAAACGTCAGTACATCTTACGGAAGGTCCCTGGCTATACTATCGAAAATCAGTAAAACGTCAGTACATTTTACGGCAGGTCCTGGCTTTACTATCGAAAATCAGTAAAACGTCAGTACATTTTACGGCAGGTCCTGGCTTTACTATCGAAAATCAGTAAAACGTCAGTACATTTTACGGCAGGTCCTGGCTTTACTATCGAAAATCAGGAAAACGTCAGTACATCTTACGTCAGGTCCCTGGCTTTACTATCGAAAATCAGTAAAACGTCAGGACATCTTACGGCAGGTCCCTGGCTATACTATTGAAAATCAGTAAAACGTCAGTTCATCTTACGCCAGGTCCCTGGCTATACTATCGAAAATAAGTAAAACGTCAGTAAATCTTACGGCAGGTCCCGCGCTATACTATCGAAAATCAGTAAAAAGTCAGTACATCTTACGACAGGTCCCTGGCTATGCTATCGAAAATCAGTAAAACGTCAGTACATCTTACGGAAGGTCCCTGGCTATACTATCGAAAATCAGTAAAACGTCAGTACATCTTACGTCAGGTCCCAGGCTATACTATCGAAAATTAGTAAAACGTCAGTTCATCTTACGGCAGGTCCCTGGCCATACTATCGAAAATCAGTAAAACGTCAGTACATCTTACGGCAGGTCACTGGCTTTACTATCGAAAATCAGTAAGAACTCGTTTTTATCTCAGATTTACGTATAACTACTTTTCAACCGACCCTTTCAGCATACAGTAATTTAAGATACAGTAGGTAATCGTAATATGTATTTTTAGATGACCGTGTTATTGAGTTGTAGTTTGAAACATATTACTTAGTTGGTGGTAAACGTAGCGTTTAGTTGTAGGTATAAGTATTATTTAGTTGTAGATAAACGTAGCGTTTAGTTGTAGGTAAACGTAGTATTTAGTTGTAGGTAAACGTATTTAGTTGCAGGTAAGCGAAGAACATGTAATTAGTTGTAGGTAAACGTAGTATTTAGTTGTAGATAAACGTTTTATTTAGTTGTAGATAAACGTAGTGTTTAGTTGTAGGTATAAGTATTATTTAGTTTTAGGTAAACGTAGTGTTTAGTTGTAGGCATAAGTATTATTTAGTTGTAGGTAAACGTAGTGTTTAGTTGTAGGTATAAGTATTATTTAGTTGTAGGTAAACGTAGTATTTAGTTGTAGGTATACGTAGTATTTAGTTGTAGATAAACGTTTTATTTAGTTGTAGATAAACGTAGGGTTTAGTTGTAGGTATAAGTATTATTTAGTTTTAGGTAAACGTAGTGTTTAGTTGTAGGTATAAGTATTATTTAGTTGTAGATAAACGTAGTGTTTAGTTGTAGGTAAACGTAATATTTAGTTGTAGGTAAACGTATTTAGTTGCAGGTAAGCGAAGTACATGTAATTAGTTGTAGGTAAACGTAGAATTTAGTTGTAGATAAACGTTTTATTTAGTTGTAGATAAACGTAGTGTTTAGTTGTAGGTATAAGTATTATTTAGTTGTAGATAAACGTAGTATTTAGTTGTAGGTAAACGTAGTATTTAGTTGTAGATACACGTTTTATTTAGTTGTAGATAAACGTAGTGTTTAGTTGTAGGTATAAGAATTATTTAGTTGTAGATAAACGTAGTGTTTAGTTGTAGGTAAACGTAGTATTTAGTTGTAGGTATACGTATTATTTAGTTGTAGATAAACGTAGTATTTAGTTGTAGGTAAACGTATGATTTAGTTGTAGATAAATGTAGTATTTATTTGTAGGTAAACGTAGTATTTAGTTGTAGATAAACGTAGTGTTTAGTTGTAGGTATAAGTATTATTTAGTTGTAGATAAACGTAGTATTTATTTGTAGATAAACGTATTATTTAGTTGTAGATAAACGTAGTGTTTAGTTGTAGGTATAAGTAATATTTAGTTGTAGATAAACGTAGTATTTAGTTGTAGATAAACGTAGTGTTTAGTTGTAGGTAAACGTATTATATAGTTTTAGGTAAACGTAGTATTTAGTTGTAGGTATAAGTATTATTTAGTTGTAGATAAACGTAGTGTTTAGTTGTAGGTATAAGTATTATTTAGTTGTAGGTAAACCTAGTTGGTAGAGTTGTTCTTTAATATTTAGATGTCAATAATTAAGAGTAGCATTTCGATAAATGTGTAACATTTGGTTATAAATAAGCGTGCCATTCAGTCGTCGATTACCCATCGTATATCTCTATCATTACTAATATCTTTCTCATTGAAGTTGACACAGTAGGTCGGTTCATCATATATTACGTGTTGTTTTGTTGTTTCTGAGTTAATTTTCTGGTGTGTTATTGGTCTCCTGTTTGTTGTGGTGTCTGTGATCCTGAAAAAGTGGAGGAAGCTTTAAATAAAACAGTTTGATTCACAAGGTACGTGGTCACACATTTGGTATTTGTTGGTAGTGACTCGCACATAGAACATTGAACGTGTTTAATGAAGGGGTTGGTGAGCCGTAATCAACTACTAGTAGCTATAGAGGATTATTATACGTACCTCTTCTGAGTTTTCCCTATATAAAAACAATACAATAAAATGTCCTATTTCCCTAAAATCACTTATATTTCTCCATCTGAGGGCTACTCCCTTCCCAAAATAGGACTACTCTGTGCAAGAAAGGACTACTCCCTGCCAGGTAGAGGACTACTCCCTCATACATATTTGTAGGCGGAGCTTATAAAATCCCAACCAATGAAAACATTTGGTAGGCGGGGCCTTCTCCGTGACGCAGGCGAGGTCACAATTCAGAACCAAACGACAACAGTGAAAATGGCCTTTTTCATACGGCGTCAACAAGCCGTGTCAACAAGCCGAACACGCCCTCAAACCGAACGGTTGTTTCAGCGTGTCACTCACTGCATCTGGCTCGTCGATTGGTTGATAGAACGTTAACGGTTTGAGGTTGGTGTCGTCCTTGATTTCAGAAGCAGTGTACAACATTGTATCTTTTTCGGAGACTTGTTGTTTGTGCGCATTGTCAATTTGAGATAACGCATATATGGAAATGTAAAATTTACATTGCATGTACATGATTCAAACCATGTGTCATGACTTGAATGTTTCGTTAAATGTATACCTATCCACATTTTCGTGAACTATACTGGTATTTATTATTACAAGAGGGCAAAAGGAAGAATATTACACGTGCTTGAAAGCTGTCTATACCGGCCGCTGCACTGAAAAGTAATACCGAACGGGGCAAGATTCGACAACTCGTTCAAATATATTTGTAAATTATATAAAAACAATGATGTGCACGAAAATGATGACAATTTATTTTATAATAAAAGTAAGTGTACAATTGGCCCAAGAAACTTTCATTCCATGCAAAGATGCATACAGTTTTATTTGAGAATACTTTTCATGACAATTAAACTGTATAAAGCTTTATTGGTTGCTGATTATCGTTACATGAACAATTTAAAGGTAAGAATAATTACCAAAACAAGTATTTCCTGATTTACGTACCGTGCGTCGCTATTTATTTGAATATCATTTTCAAAAGTCTATTTTATCAAAACTAATGAGAGTTTGGAGAAGAAATTTAATCTCAACCCTCGTTGACTCTAAAATATTTCAACTATGCATATTTTCTGCCGATATTTATCGTATATCCCCAAATATTCGCCAAAATACCGGAAGTGTCCCTTCCAGGGAACAGTAACGCCGGTTCAACGGCCTACGTAAGTCTGATGGTATTTCCCGTTCTTTTTATCGAACCACTCGCCCGAAATATCAAATTGTGATAAAAATGAAAATTGCATAGCATCTATTTATGAAAAATGAACTAACATTTTTGGAACTGATAGTTAAGTATTGTATAAAGAACATTGATATTTATCTAAAAAGTGTCCCGATTTGGGTACAGTGACGTTAGATAACCTGTGTGCCGATAGTACATTGAGTACCCACGAATGTCAGCTGCAGTGTCACTCTCGATGGAGCGTATCCATGGAGATAATTCCCCGGAAATTTATACCTAATTGTTTTCGTTTTTAATAAGTTTTTGTTCAATATTGAATAAATATTGCAATTACAATTGAAACTGTTTAGTTTTTATCAAGACAGGAAATACTTATACCGGCAAATATATGCTGCCGGAATAAAAAAAAAAATCATGCAATTTTTGCATATTCTTACACTTTCGTATGGTTGTATATGTTGTGAATACATATACGCAATCACACGTTCCTATGACCCAGCATGAAAGGTATTTTTTTTCATTCTGGGTCATAGGAACGTGTCAAGTTCCTGTGCAGTACGCAATAGCATGTGGATATGCTCAACGAAACATTCTAATGTGGCAATTAATTGCTATAGATATATATGTATGTAGCTTGAAACATTTACAAATATATTTAACACGTATATATTTGCATGTTAACGTTACAAAAGTCAAGCGAATGATTACTTTTTCAGTGCAGCGGCCAGTATGGACAGCTTTTCGGTATTTGTAATATTCTTCCTTTTGCCCTCTTGTAATCATAAATACCAGTATAGTTCACGAAAATGTGGATAGGTATACATTTAACGAAACATTCAAATCATGACACATGGTTTGAAACATGTACATGCAATGTAAATTTTACATTTCCATATACGTGTATGCGTAATCTTAAGTTGACAATGCGTGCAAACAACAAGTCTCCGAAAAAGATACACTGCTTTTGAAATCAAGGACGACACCGACCTCAAACATTCTATCGACCAATCGACGAGCCAGATGCAGTGAGTGACACGCTGAAACAACCGTTCGGTTTGAGGGCGTGTTCTTTTTGAACACGGCTTGTTGACACCGTAACGATTTTGATTGTAAATATGATAGGAAATCAATGGTGACTATAAGATAAGGTCTATAAAAACACTTCTTGAATGCTGGAAATGAAGATATCATCAACAACGATGCATACAGCACTTCCAACTTTGATTAGTTTTTTCTCTTTGAAATTGTTTAAAAAATGAATTTATAAATTCATTTGTTACATTGAAACTATGCAAAATATTACAAAATTCACTGAATATTCATTTTTTTCTCATTTATGCAAATTTGAACTTGTTACCATGGCAACAATAATTAGAAATACAAATGTATATTTTCATGATAGTATTTGGGAAATATTCAAAATACTACAGTCATTTCAAAGTTCACTTAAAGGTTTTGAATTTTGATGCATCTGGTTGGGGGCCAAAACACGCCCAAACCATACATAGTCCTTAGTTCATTAATATTGCAATCCGTAGTTTTACGACAGTCAATATTTTCATCATTAAACTCATAGACCTTCATTGCAACACTGAACTTATCTGCCTTTGCCATTTTATATTTTGTGAAAATCAAAATAGAATATTCGAAGTAATTGATATACATTATCATAATCTTAAAAGATTACGAACCCAAACACAATAGTCATGTTCGTTTGAAGCATCTTGGGAGAGATTGGAATAAAAACCGGAATTGGAGCGACGTCAACACTTGACAATATAATCACTTGTTAAAAAATTTCGAAGTTCTTTTAAAGCGATAAAATCATATTTCCGTTTATCTGTAATAATTTAGATATTAGAAAAGTTCTGATACTTGTATTCAGTGAGGTCACATGAATACGATTATGACATTTGCCCCCGTAGCGTCATTTTACTAATAAATGTAGATCATTTCGAGCTAAATGATAGACGTTGTAAAATAACAAGCAGAACATATTTCAAAACATTTTAATAGTCTGGTTCTGGAAATGATGACAGAAATCCCCTCTTCACGTAGATTATCTGTAGGAACATCAAACGTAGCGCTGCTCAGAGACCACCGGGGTATTCATACGCGTTTTCGCCCGACACACCATACACAAGTAGTCCAAACTCGGTGGTAGGAGGCTCGCACGTGACATGATACCTTCCTGGATCAACCTTGACATCGACGGCGCTGTACACAATCGAATCGTGAATACCATGATGCTTGTAAACATCTGCAAGTGAGCTCAAAGTGACGCCATTGATCATGACGTCATTGATATGATTCGTGGGAATAATAAGTGCTAAGTAATTTTCGTATCCCTGTCGATCCGACACCGATATATCGTACTCCGTCCGATATTGATATAGTGGTGGAATTACTGTCATAGCCGGCTCGCCCCGATGTGCGCCCTCCGCGTAGTGTGTTACCAGCACTGGCTGACTGCTGTTTATAAAGGTCAGTGCAGAACTAGTCACTTCAATATTGCTGAAGTTACCGGCCTCCGGTAAAATGAAACCAGAAAGTTCCGCATGGTCTCCGTTTTTTATGTCGACAATGGTAGTAGGATAAGCTGCAATAATCCGAACGATATATCCCTGACTGCTAACTAAGGGTGGGACAATGTAAACGGATCCTAATCCGGACACTGGTGGCACCATTTCCTGTAGATGATTACAAGTCCCAGTACCGACTGGAACACTCGAACACTGACTTCCGGTCTGAACGGCTATTGGATGGTTACTAGAGATCAGAGTTCCTGTTACGTCACCGGTATGGGCTAGTTCGAACGCTTCCAGTGCATTGAGATAGATCGTGAGCTTGTCGCCATCCCTGTACGTTCTGCCGTTCAGGAAGTAGTCATGGTTTGTGTGTAGCTTCATTTCTAGTGTTGTACCGTCTTCCACGGCTGTCACGCCAATAAACGTCTTAAATATCCCGTTCTTGTCGTAGGAGGGTACAACGTACGTATCCGACAATTCACGAACCGGAAGTATCAAAAACCCATCCGTGGTAGACGGGTCGTGATACATCGCGTGCAGAGTGACGTCATTTGACGTTATTACTTGGATGCCATTATTTTCAATTCTTTGTTTACCAATTTGTAGTAACTGTGGAACTTGTATTGTTTTACTTTCGTTAGTGTATGTGTAGTTAAGACACACGTGACCTCCCAATCCTCGAAGTGTCAGACTTCCGGCTTCGTTTGACGCGAGCAGGAGGTCGAGATGGGAGTCGGCGGGCACTTTATTGGTTGGGTACAGGAACACATACTCCTGGCCACCTGTAACAAAAAAATGCCACCTTAGTGTAGAGCACAAACCCCCGAATCACACACACAAACACATGTCGGATGTCAGAATTCTATAGAACCATATAGTTCCAGGATAATAGTCCCATTAACGTGAATTAAACATATATTCAAATCATGTTTATTAAATCCAATTTTTTCACTTCCGAATTATGATAGGAGACAAAATACATGTATAGAGACTCTATTCTGCGGAGTCTTATATTTCCTACAAAAATTTAGAAACCCTTTTCTCCATAGTTTTATATATCAGACAACGTTGCGAGACTCATATTCTCCGAAATCTTAAGGACGTTTGCCGACTTTGTTCCGTGTGTGCAAATTGATTGTTAATGTGAATACAAAAAACAAGACACAGTCATATTTTCCCTATGTTACTCCGGGTCGAGTAAAAACATTTATTTGTACAGGCCATCAAAGTTACTTCATGTACTTTGAACAATACGCAATAAAACATTGCAGTTTCATCAACTTTAAATGCGTTTTTGACAGAAAGGTACCAATTAAGTTTGAAGCTGTTGAACTTGAATTCATAATCAAATTAAAGTTAAACCCTTTTCATAAAGTGTTCCAAAAAAGTTTGAATTAGGTTGGAGCTCAGATACTACATGTCACACTTATAACAAAACGCATTGTTGGAAAAAAGTGGAACACGTACTGTGTAACTGCTGTCAGCAGAACTATCACTAAAATTTGACTGTCACGTACGTTTCGTAATCGTCACGTGACGTTATCGGCGCTACATTTAATGAGCCTTTCCGGTAAAAATCGAGTGGTCAAACTGGACATTTGGAATGGACTATGAATATGGGGATAGCAAGGAAACATAACTAACAGTGCAGTAAATTCAATAAATAAAACATTATTTTTCCAGATATGTCTACTACTATGTGTAATAAGCACTGCTGTAATACATACAAACCATCCATAGTACAGCAGAACATTTATTTAATAAAGATCTGCACATTATATAGACACGTGTAGTGTAGATGTTAATAATAATCTGAACAGTATATAGACACGTGCAGTGTAAATGTCAATAATGATCTGTACAGTATATAGACACGTGTAGTGTAGATGTCAATAATAATCTGAACAGTATATAGACACGTGTAGTGTAAATGTCAATTATTATCTGTACAGTATATAGACACGTGTAGTGTAGATGTCAATAATGGTCTGTGCAGTATATAGAAACGTGTAGTATAAATGTCAATACTGATCTGTACAGTATATAGACACGTATAGTGTACATTTCAATAATGATCTGCACAGTATATAGACACGTGAAGTGTAGATGTCAATTATGGTCTGCACAGTATATAGACACGTGTAGTGTAGATGTCAATAATGATCTGTACAGTATATAGACACTTATAGTGTAGACGTCATAATGGTCTGCACAGTATAATGACACTTGTAGTGTAGATGTCACTGCAGAACGGGTGTTGAATGCAGAGAGAGAGAGCGAGAGAGAGAGAGAGAAATGCCTCACATATAGTATATATAGATACCACAGAGAACTGTAGCACGGTATCTGCCTCAATTATAGTATATATAGATACCACAGAGAACTGTAGCACGGTCTCTCCCTCACTTATAGTATATATGGCTACCACAGTGAACTGTAGCATGGTTTCTGCCTCACTTATAGTATATATAGCTACCACAGTGAACTGTAGCACGGTCTCTGCCTCACTTATAGTATATAATATAGCTACCACAGTGAACTGTAGCATGGTTTCTGCCTCACTTATAGTATATATAGCTGTAGCATGGTTTCCGCCTCACTTATAGTATATATAGCTACCACAGTGAATTGACTAAAGCCGTCACATTAAGTGACTTATGAAAACATCTGGTTTAGTATATACATTGTTTTATGAACAGAGTAATTTCATTCTCAATTCTGGTATAAATTCCAGTTTGGTTGATAAAACCAAAGATCATTGATTCTTTATTTAGTGAGAAAGGAATAGTGGGAGCACTTTAAAGACAAAATTGCTCAGAAATTTTTGTACTTCCCTGCATTCCCATAAAACAAGGGTAATTGTGTACTGTAAGATATAGAACGACATGTGTTGATGAGAATTACATGGATTGGTGAGAACGACATGAGTGTGCTGTTAGATAGTGAACGACATGGGTTGGTGTGAACGACATGAGTGTACAGTCAGATATCGGACGACATGGGTTGGTGGGAACGACATGAGTGTACAGTCAGATATAGAACGACATGGGTTAGTGAGAACAACATGAGTGTACAGTCAGATATAGAACGACATGTACTGGTGAGAACGACATGGGTTGGTGAGAACGACATGAGTGTACAGTCAGATATAGAACGACATGGGTTAGTGAGAACAACATGAGTGTACAGTCAAATATAGAACGACATGGGTTGGTGATAACGACATGGGTGTACAGTCAGATATATAACGACATGGGTTGGTGAGAACGACATGGGTGTACAGTCAGATATAGAACGACATGTACTGGTGAGAACGACATCGGTTGGTGAGAACGACATGAGTGTACAGTCAGATATCGGACGACATGGGTTGGTGAGAACGACATGAGTGTACAGTCAGATATAGAACGACATGGGTTGGTGAGAACGACATGGGTGTACAGTCAGATATAGAACGACATGTACTGGTGAGAACGACATGGGTTGGTGAGAACGACATGAGTGTACAGTCAGATATAGAACGACATGGGTTGGTGAGAACGACATGAGTGTACAGTCAGATATAGAACGACATGGGTTGGTGAGAACGACATGGGTGTACAGTCAGATATAGAACGACATGTACTGGTGAGAACGACATGGGTTGGTGAGAACGACATGAGTGTACAGTCAGATATAGGACGACATGGGTTGGTGAGAACGACATGAGTGTACAGTCAGATATAGAACGACATGGGTTGGTGAGAACGACATGAGTGTACAGTCAGATATAGAACGACATGGGTTGGTGAGAACGACATGAGTGTACAGTCAGATATAGAACGACATGGGTTGGTGAGAACGACATGAGTGTACAGTCAGATATAGAACGACATGGGTTGGTGAGAACGACATGAGTGTACAGTCAGATATAGAACGACATGGGTTGGTGAGAACGACATGAGTGTACAGTCAGATATAGAACGACATGGGTTGGTGAGAACGACATGAGTGTACAGTCAGATATAGAACGACATGGGTTGGTGAGAACGACATGAGTGTACAGTCAGATATAGAACGACATGGGTTGGTGAGAACGACATGAGTGTACAGTCAGATATAGAACGACATGGGTTGGTGAGAACGACATGAGTGTACAGTCAGATATAGAACGACATGGGTTGGTGAGAACGACATGAGTGTACAGTCAGATATAGAACGACATGGGTTGGTGAGAACGACATGAGTGTACAGTCAGATATAGAACGACATGGGTTGGTGAGAACGACATGAGTGTACAGTCAGATATAGAACGACATGGGTTGGTGAGAACGACATGAGTGTACAGTCAGATATAGAACGACATGGGTTGGTGAGAACGACATGAGTGTACAGTCAGATATAGAACGACATGGGTTGGTGAGAACGACATGAGTGTACAGTCAGATATAGAACGACATGGGTTGGTGAGAACGACATGAGTGTACAGTCAGATATAGAACGACATGGGTTGGTGAGAACGACATGAGTGTACAGTCAGATATAGAACGACATGGGTTGGTGAGAACGACATGAGTGTACAGTCAGATATAGAACGACATGGGTTGGTGAGAACGACATGGGTGTACAGTCAGATATAGAACGACATGTACTGGTGAGAACGACATGGGTTGGTGAGAACGACATGAGTGTACAGTCAGATATAGGACGACATGGGTTGGTGAGAACGACATGAGTGTACAGTCAGATATAGAACGACATGGGTTGGTGAGAACGACATGAGTGTACAGTCAGATATAGAACGACATGGGTTGGTGAGAACGACATGAGTGTACAGTCAGATATAGAACGACATGGGTTGGTGAGAACGACATGAGTGTACAGTCAGATATAGAACGACATGGGTTGGTGAGAACGACATGAGTGTACAGTCAGATATAGAACGACATGGGTTGGTGAGAACGACATGAGTGTACAGTCAGATATAGAACGACATGGGTTGGTGAGAACGACATGAGTGTACAGTCAGATATAGAACGACATGGGTTGGTGAGAACGACATGAGTGTACAGTCAGATATAGAACGACATGGGTTGGTGAGAACGACATGAGTGTACAGTCAGATATAGAACGACATGGGTTGGTGAGAACGACATGAGTGTACAGTCAGATATAGAACGACATGGGTTGGTGAGAACGACATGAGTGTACAGTCAGATATAGAACGACATGGGTTGGTGAGAACGACATGGGTGTACAGTCAGATATAGAACGACATGTACTGGTGAGAACGACATGGGTTGGTGAGAACGACATGAGTGTACAGTCAGATATAGGACGACATGGGTTGGTGAGAACGACATGAGTGTACAGTCAGATATAGAACGACATGGGTTGGTGAGAACGACATGAGTGTACAGTCAGATATAGAACGACATGGGTTGGTGAGAACGACATGAGTGTACAGTCAGATATAGAACGACATGGGTTGGTGAGAACGACATGAGTGTACAGTCAGATATAGAACGACATGGGTTGGTGAGAACGACATGAGTGTACAGTCAGATATAGAACGACATGGGTTGGTGAGAACGACATGAGTGTACAGTCAGATATAGAACGACATGGGTTGGTGAGAACGACATGAGTGTACAGTCAGATATAGAACGACATGGGTTGGTGAGAACGACATGAGTGTACAGTCAGATATAGAACGACATGGGTTGGTGAGAACGACATGAGTGTACAGTCAGATATAGAACGACATGGGTTGGTGAGAACGACATGAGTGTACAGTCAGATA